TTTTCAAATTCTCACTCATATTAAATGGTAAAACCTCAATGTAAGGGCCCGTTGGGGCCAGCTTATAAGTGCGTGGGGCTTTTTTGAAAACCCCGCGGTACCGTTTGAATCGCGCGTTTTGTCCGCTTATCTGAAAACGCGGTTGTATTTTTTCACTAAACGCAGGCCGCAGGTCGAACACCGCAGTCGACCCACGGGCCACGTACTTTATCCTGAAACGCACAAGCTGCCCCAAATGCTAACTAAATTTTTCATTTTTATCAAATTTTCAATAATATGACACACATAAATATTATTTCAATAGTTCAAAAAAATACTCAATATTAAATTTATAAATATTAATATTTTGGATGGCATTTATGTAATTAATACCATTTTTGGCTGAGATAGATCTGACATTGGTTTTCAAATTTCAAGACCGGAAATTTTTTTTCTATCTTATCAACATGGATGATTTAATACATGTTTTGAGGAGTTATTAATTAGAAAATGAAAGTGACGCAGATAGGCGCGTAAGTCGGTTCGTTGAGAGGTCATCGTCCCGCTCGCTTTCCCATTTATTACCTCACTGCTCCCAAGTGATGGCCGGAAGACCAGCGAAGTGACCGCCGGGAGCTCGCCGTCTTCCCTTTTTCCGCCATTTTTCTACTATTCTCATGAGCTTTGCTCTCTTCTCCATCGGAAAAATGGCAGCTGCTTCTCGCCCTAGGAAAAGACCCACAATCATCGACGGTTCGCTCGACGGTAGCTCGTCTGCTTCATCTTCTTCTGAAGAGGAAGCAGAGGAGTCGGAGGAAGAGGGATTAGAAGATGCGGTTAATGACGACGATGAAAAGAAGGGGAGAGGGCGAAATGGTTCTGTTTTGGAGAAAGGGGTTGGAAAGAAGGCTCCCGCCATAATCATATCTCTCAAGAAAGTCTGCAAGGTTTTTAATGATTCACCTTCTATCGACCGTCGTTTGAATTTTTCAATCTTTCTCAGCCTTTATCTTCTATTCTTTTAGGTTTGCAAGGAAGAGGGGCATCAGGCAGGATTCCAGGGGGCCAATTACATCGACTGCCCGAGGAAGCCTTGCTTTCTCTGTAAAATGCCTGGTATGCTGCCTCTTTTTGAAGCAGAAAGCCACAGTTTTTATGCAGTTGTATCAACCATTGGTTGTTTCTTCGCTGAGAAGCTGCATGAACTGTTAGCATTTTATTTTTTTTCGGTTAAATGGGTGAATTTTTTATTCATTTTTTAATTTTTATTTTATTGAGAGTCTCAGGCCACACGACAATGTCATGCCCGCATAGAGTGGCTTTGGAGCATGGAGTGGTTCCAGCGCTTAGGAAAAACAAACAGACGCAGCTGGATTATGTGTTTGAACGACAACTGATGTCTCAAATTCCAAAGGTGAGAATTGCTTAGAATTTTTATATTCTTCTTCCTTGAAGAAAAAACTTGTAAGGGAATACTCAATTGTCATTACCAATCTTCAACCATAAGGCCATATATATATCAGGAAACCGATCTCTCCTAATTTGCAATCTTGTGAAATATCTCTAACCTAAACACTTAAATGAAATAATTATGAAATAAACATAAATAGGAAGAGAATAAAAAATAATCAAGGAGTTTTTCAAATTCTCTCCAATTAATCCATTCATCGCTACTTAGATGGTCTTCCTGGGCCCACCATGAAAAGGAGGTCAATCTTCCTAGAGTTCTACAATCCCCCTTGAGTTGGGTTGTTGATGTTGTAGAGACCAAGTTTGATATTTAACTTTGAGAAATTACTAATAGAAAGAGCTATGGGGAAGATACCAACAACTTGTTGGTGTGTCGGGATATAGTTTAGTTGTATAATTTTGCCATTAACTTTTTCAGAAATAAAATGCCTACCAAATTTAATATATTTGGTCCTGCCATGATGCACATGATTCTAGATAATACTTATACTTGTTTAACTGTCACAAAGTATTTGTATATGCCTATTAGAGATACACCCAAATTCCATCAGTAGTTTTTGAATTGAGATCCCTTCATATATTCTTTAGACAAGTGCTATATACTCTGATTCTGCACTACTTCTAGAGACGACAACTTATTACTTCTTCAAGTGACCAAACTTTTCCATACACGGGAAAAATAACCATTGGTGGACTTCATATTAGTGAGTTATCCAACCTAACTTGCATCAGTGTAGGCTCTCACCTCTCTATTTCTGGTTCTCTCAAAAAATTAATTCGTAGCTAGGAGTCTTCTTGAGAAACCTCGGGATCTTGTACACAATCTGTAAATGATCTTTATTTAGGTTATTTATATGGCAGCTCACAATACTGATAGAGTATGCAATGCCTAATATAATATATTACAGGTAGATGAGTTTTCCTACCAAATTTTAATACATTCTCTTATTCATAGATATACTTTCTTCTCTCCTATTACTGTTTGTTGGAATCCATTGCAGTATCAGGAGATTTGCATGCAATCACTCCCATCTTCTTTAACAAATTTTAGTTGTATTTTCTCTGTGATACCTCAATGCCCTTTTTGGATCTTGCCACCTTCGTACCTGAGAAATATCTCATGGCTCATTTGCTTTTGATTTCAAACTCAGTGGCAAAAATTTCTTGATTTTAAGAATTTTCCTTTCATCAGCACCAATAGAATCATATTATCCACATATACCATCAGTGCAACAATCTTGCATTTCCGAGTGTGTTTTATGAACAGTGTATGATCTGCTTGATATGTGAATATCCATTATATCTCATAATTTTATCAAATCTTTAAAACTACACCCTTATATCAGGTGTTTGTTGGAATGATTCTCAAGTCCTGGTGGTATTTTTATGTACACTTTTTTTTCAAGATTCTCATTCAAGAAGATATTTTTTT